CTCTATAAATGCCCTTTGCCTCCCAGCTCTTTCCTCTATTTCCCTTGATTCTTCTCCTGTCCCACTATCATGCTCAGTTCCCACCAGGATTTCAGCACTTCCTCTTTGTTACGTTCCCCTTGATCATGCCCTACCAAGTCCCCCACACCCACCTCCCCACCAATTTGGATCGCTTGTTGTTCCCTTGTCCCTGGGTTTGTTAAAACCTCTTCCCTTCCCCCTACCTCCCCCTCTCCCATGTCCCCGCCGGAACTGTCAGTCCCGTTGTTTTCTCCTCCAGATTGTTCATCCAGCCTGTCCTATCCAGACAGGCCTGCGGAGACAACAACATGCACAAAAACAAGACAGAGCAAAACCAAGCAACAATGTCCTGGCGTTCTACAAAGATTTTACATGGGCTTCCCTATGTCCTGTGCCACAACTGTGCCCCATTTTATTGATTTAAAAATTGTAATGTGTCTCTGTCAGTGGCCAAAGAGGTAGTTACTGGAGCTGGGGTTTGAACCTATGACCTTGGAGGCCAGTGTACGTGATGATTCTGATATAGCACACTGACTTGGGGTGATCTGGTCTTTTAAAAACACAAATTTTAAAAAAAAGCAATAATAATTTGCATTCCTCATAGTGACCAAATGATAGTCTTCAGTTTGGAAATTCCTAGGCAGAATTCTTAGGCAGCATCTGGTTGTTGATAATTACATCTATGAATTAGAAGAGCATACATTCAATATAAACATTTTTAAAACATCTAGAGCAGTGGTCCTCAGCCTTCCTCATGCTGCGACCCTTTCATACAGTTCCTTATGCGGTGGTGACCCCCAGCCATAAAGTTCTTTTCATTAACTTCATCCCTGTCATTTTGCTACTGTTATGAATCAGGTGACCCCTGTGAAAGGGTCGTTCGACCCCCCAAAGGGGTCGTAACCCACAGCTTGAGAACCACTGATCTAGTGCCTTTCAAACTAGTTAAAACAAGCCTTTCCCCCCCCCCCCCATATTAAATTAAAATAAAGAAGGAAATGCAGCCGTGGAGAAGGAGAACCCTCCAGTTGCACCCCCATTTTCACCCCTTCTTCTGGAATTCGCAGGTACAAGCTGTGATGGGGCACGGGGGTGGGGGGGAACCTTTTCCTCCATGGTGTTTATAAAATTGCCTAATGCCAGAAGTTTTCTTTGAAATCATTAGGAGAAGGGAAAATTCTGGGACTTCTTGAAGGAAACATCATAAAGTGCATCATGTGTTTGCAGTTCATTAAAACATAAGTCTTAAGTGATATTTTTAAGAGCAGAATTATCTTTAGCTATTAATTTGTCCATTGTACCATAAAAATGCAGCTATTGAAGTATAATCACAATTAAATGAGTGTGTTGGTTTATAACTCTAATGAGCAGTCATCAAATTAAATCCAATTAGGAAACCATGATTAATGACCACATGTACACATTGATCTTCCTCACTGTCACAGCCCCCTAAAGCAACCCTATATTTCAAGAGCTATAAAGGCAGTCATTTACATCTTAGCAATAATAGTATTTATAAGCTGAATATTTCAGTTATTTCCATAGATCTGGGTAGCAGAACATATAAACCTTCATATTAAATTTTTGACTTCATAATTAACTTTTAATTTAGAAGTTTAAAGGCGCTTGGCATCACACACCACATTTTTACTAAAAACCACACAGTAAGCAATTTATTTTATCCTTCAAATCATTGAAGGGAGGGACAATTTTGTCAGCCTTTCATTACTGAAGGAGCAGCATTTAAAAAATAAAAATTCAACTTGATTGGTCATATATTTGCATAATGATTGATTCATGGTTGAATGCAGAACAGTAGTCTTTATATCGTCTGTGCTGTAGGGAAATTCTTGATACAGAGAATGGCTTGCAGTTTAAGAACTGTGTCTTTCAATATGATTAATCAAAGTACATTCAAAGAATGCAATTTGGCCCTCCTGAGTAGGGAGTAGAAGAGTGACTGTGAGCCAGCTGTGGAGTCAGTTCTGAGTGCTGCTGGCCCCCTGTGTGTCAGACTAGAACTGTGCACTGCCCAGGCCTTTTTGTTTACAGCAATTATAATCTGGCAGACACCAGAAACTTTATTAAATTGTTAGATTCTTATGACCAAAATTACTGTAATGTAATGACATTTATATTTCAGCAATTTTCACAATAGGACTGGACTATTAATGATGCATTTACTTCCTGTCTACATCGGTAATTCTGAAAATGATCAAAACTATCAAATGAATTCTTTAATGGCTCACTCTGTCATGTTTTCTTTCTTTCTTTTTTTTTTTTTAAATAATTTTATTAGGGACGCATACAACTCCTATCACAATCCATACATACATCTATTGTGTAAAGCACATTTGTACATTCATTGCCCTCATCATTCTCAAAGCATTTTCTCTCCACTTAAGCCCCCGGCATTAGGTCCTCATTTTTCCCCTCCCTCCCCAATCCTCCCTCCCTCATGAGCCCTTGATAATTTATAAATTATTGTTTTGTCATATCTTGCCTTGTCTGACGTCTTTCCTTCACCCACTTCTCTGTTGTCCATCCCCGAGGGAGGAGGTCACATATAGATCCTTGTAATTGGTTCTCTCTTTCCAACCCACTCTCCCTCTACCCTCCCAGTATCGCCACTCACACTGGTCCTGTAGGACTCATCCACCCTGGATTCCCTGTATTTCCAGTTCCTATCTGTACCAGTGTACATCCTCTGTTCTAGCCAGACTTGCAAGGTAGAATTCAGAGCATGATAGTGGGAGCGGGGAGGAAGCATTTAGGAACTAGAAGAAAGTTGTATTTTTCATCGTTGCTACATTGCACCCTGACTGGCTCATCTCCTCCCCGAGACCCCTCTGCAAGGGATCTCCAGTGCCCTACAACTGGCTTTGGGTCTCCACTCCGCATTCCCCCCATCATTCACTATGGTAAGATTTTTTATTTTGATGATGCCTTATACCTGATCCCTTTGACACCTCGTGATTAAATAGGCTGGTGTGCTTCTTCCATGTGGGCTTTGTTGCTTCTGAGCTTGATGGCCGCTTGTTTACCTTCAAGCCTTTAAGACCCCAGATGCTAACACTGCCCATGTCTTACGGACTGACTTCTCAGAGTGGATTGTCAGGCCTTTATTTTGAGAATCCCCTCTTACTGCCAACCCTATAGTGAATGGCTGAGGGTGTTAGCCATTTGTGCCCTCCAGAGCCTAGCTCTGTTGAAGTTGAGGGAAGGGGCATAGTTATTTGATGTA